GGAAATGTAGTCATAGTATTAATAAAGGTGAAAAGCAAAAAAGAAAATACAATCTGACTTAACTTTTCACCTTTTTTTTCTAGAAAGATTCAGAAAAATATAGATTTGTAGATACTATAAATAAGAATACAAAGATAATTTACCTATGGGAGATGAAGATAAGACGGAATGAATATTTAAGCAAGGCACTATGGTCAGAGTATTAATAAAGGTGAAAAAAAAGAAAGAGAATACAACCTTAGAAATGATGTCTAGGAATTTACTTTTCACCTTCTTCCATCAATATTATGAAAAAATATACATTTATAATAAATATCACGCTATATAAAAATATAAAAATAATATCACACTCCATTATATTCATAAATCATAAATAGTAAAAAATAAATAACATAAACATAATATATAATATAAATATTTGAATATAAATTTATATATATATATATATATAAGATAATTCATAAATAAATAAATAATATATATATATATATTTAAATATTTAAAAATATAAACCTAATCAAGAAATATTATTAAAATAAAATTAAATATTAATAATTAAAATAAATATTAAAATATTTTAATAAAATATTTTGATAAATATATACATTTATATGAATATATGAATATATGAAAATATACTAATATGTTCGTTCCCAAACAAATATAATAATGTAATTTACAATTTTGAAAAATAAAATATTTGTTCTATACAAAAATTTAACCGTTGATAATAAATATATATATATATATATATATATATATATATATATATATATATATATATATATATATAAACTATTATAGTGAATATATATGTTAGATAAAAAAAAAAAAAAAATTCAACTTCGTTGCACATTATTATGGTTGAGAAAATGTTACACTTAAAATGTTAAGATACCAAAAGGAGTATCACCGTATCATGTACTAATTATTCTTATTATAAGAAATTTCAGTAAGTGTCTAAAATAACTCAACAATTAATAACAAAAAATTATATTAGACAATATAATATTACTAATTACTGGTGGTAATGAAAAATTATTATTTGTTTGTATGATGTCATAATGTAGTTGACAAAAATTTAGTGTTGAAAATAATTTAATTTTAACACTTATATAATGACAACATTTGATTTTTTTCTTCACTAGCATGCTATTAAATTTATAATTTAGAAATAACATCGTTCTATCAATGTTTACCTGACTAGTACTATTTTTATATTTTTTTCAGTAGCATGCTATTAAATTTATAATACAGAAATAACATCATTCTATCAGTATTTACCTTATTACACAATTTTTAACTTCACTAATTAATATATTTTTTAAAATAAAATAATATTTATTAAATATAAATATATGTCTTTTATAGAAAATAAATATATAAATATTATATATTTAAAAAAATTTATTTATATAATTATATGAAATAAATATAAATATATTTTTTAAATAACATAAAAATATATTTATATAATTATATTATTAATATATTTTTATAAATATAGTAAAAAAATATATTTAATATATATATATATATAATGTTTAAATATTTATTTATATTTTTATAAATATAATAAAATTTAATAAATATATTTTATTATATTATTAATATATTTTTATAAAAATATATTTTTATATATTTTTATAAAAATATAAATAAATATTTAAACATTATATATATAAATATATTAAATATATTTGTTTTTACTATATTTATAAAAATATATTAATAATATAATTATATAAATATATTTTTATGTTATTTAAAAAAATATATTTATATTTATTTCATATAATTATATAAATAAAAAATTTTAAATATATATATAATATTTATGTATTTATTTTCTATAAAAAATATATATTTATATTTAATTATTATATTTAATAAATATTATTTTATTTTAAAAATTATATTAATAAGTGAAGTTGAAAATTGTGTAATAAGGTAAATATTGATAGAATGATGTTATTTCTGTATTATAAATTTAATAGCATGCTACTGAAAAAAATCTGAAAATAGTGCTAGTTAGGTAAATATAAATAGAATGATGTTATTTCTGAATTATAAATTCAATAACACGCTAGTGAAGAAAAAAAATCAACAACATTTATAAATTTTATTACATTAAATATATGATATAATAGGCTAAAAACATAATATTTGAGATGAATTCAACGTATATTGGATGACTAATAGGAAAACATAATACATAAGTCATTAAGCTTAAATAAACATGATTATACTAGTACGAAAAGACAAAAAAAGTTATTCAATATGCATAGTTCATCAAAAATACCAAGAGAAATTATTACATAAAGTAAAGTCTAAATAAATTAAAATACCAAATTGTTATATAAATATTTCTATCATATTCAAACTAAAACTTTGACAATATTGTTTGGAGGGTTTCTAGCCTAAATAATGAGGTTATCACCTTTCTTTAATTAATTAGAATATTAGAAATCCTTCTATCTTTTACCAAATTTGGTGGACTTTTTGGTGCATTTCTAATCAAAATTTTACACCTCACTTAACAAATTTCTCCACAACATATTTTAGTTTCAAATCTAGTAAAATCCACTAGCAAGTCCTATAAAAACGAAGGTTACAAATTAATAGAGCATTATAAGAATGAGAAAAAAAAAGACAGAAATTTAGGTTACATAAAAATGACATGAGAATAGAAATCATACAAAATGACATGCTTTGCTGTGGGATGTGGTAAGACTTAATGAAAAATAAACTAATTGTTCCATTACTCAACACGGAGTATTTGATGTGTACGAACTTTTAAAATTAATCATCTGAAAAATAATATTACCTACATATTGAAATAAAATGTAATTGTCCTCAATTAATTTTGTAAAACTTTCTCAAGAAACTCCAACCTTCTGTCAAGAGGTGTTTATGTAGATCCATATTATAGGTAATGATGTTATTTTTATTTTTAATAAGTCACCATTGATTTCTCATTTCTAAGAAAAACAATATAGAAAACTAACAATCCATGTAACCAAAATCCTGTAACAAAAATAATTAAGACAAGTAATAAAGAAATATATTAAAAAATATATTACAAAGTAAAAGTAAGATTTTATTAATTGTACGGAGAGGAAGAATTTTATTTAGAACAACAAAATATAGTAAAAATACCATATATTTGAATATGTATGGTATTGAAGAATCTATTCTTCTTTCTCTGAAGTCTATGTAATCCATTTATTGTAAAAAAAACAACTCAGATCAGATGAATATGAAAATGAAAGGTGAAGATGAAGATGGGACCATGAATATGCCCATAACTCACTAACCTTATGAATAGACTTAAAAAGAAAGAGAGTCCATGAATCTTTGAAAAAAATATCTTTCACCTCATCTTTTAAAAAAATATCCACCGTAATAAATGCTACCACTGTAATCATACACTTCCAATGTAAATCAGAATTGTAAATAATAAATAAAATAATAAAAAAAAAATTTAAGCAAATGATAGGATGGGATGAATACATTTTTGTAGGACAGTATCATTATGAAAGGTGCTGGTAACGGATAATATGCATTATCTTATTAAAATCAATTTTTAAATTAATTATATAATATATAAATATATAAATATATAAATATATATATATATATATATATATAATATGAAAATATAAACCTAATAAAGGAATAAAAATTAAAATAAATATGAAATATTTAAATATAATTTAAATTTAAATTTAAATTTAAATAAAAATATTAAATTTAAATTTAAATAAAAATATTAAATTTAAAATAAATTTAAATATTAAAAAAATTATCAAAAAATAAAAATATAAATTTTATGAATATATGAAATTGAATATATATATAGTAATATTTGAGATGAAATCAATATATTTAACAAAAATGTTTACTTTGTGAAAAAAAAAACTTAACTGTTGAGAAAATAAAACTTTGATATAAATAAAATTTTAACTAAAAGGAATATTTAAATTCATTGTAAAAATGTCATTATATTATGTATTAATTATTATTATAAGAAATTAAATAATTATCTAAAATAACGCATCAATTAATTAAAAAAAATATGTTAAATAACATAATATTACTAATTACTATTAATGAAAAAAATTTATTTGTTTGTATGGTGACACATTGTAGTTGACTAAAATTTGGTGTCGAAAACATATTTAAATTATATATATATATATATATATATATATATATATATATATATATATATAATATGAGTGAGCAGCCTAATTTCAACACTAATATAAATCCTAAACCAACGTATTTCATGAAAAATACGAAAACATAATATTAATAGATCCGTTTAAATAAATGTTGCCATCAGAGTCGTATCAGTCCACGTAAATGACAATTTTAAATAATAAATAAAATAATAAAAGAAATAAACTAAATTTAGGCAAATGATGGGGACTTTTTTTCATAAATAATACTGTTTTCAAAAATATTTACCAAAATAAGCATCTCTGCAACTTTATTTACACAACTAGTATCGTTACTTATTCACGTAATAAAATAATATTATTTCGCGTAATCTGTTCATCGTTCACGTATTAAAATAATATTATTTCGCGTCTTGAACTCTCGCTCAGCGAAGAAAACCTTCGCTGAGCGAGAAATCTGTAACAAAGGGGTAATCTGGGGTAAATTCTCGCTCAAGCGAGGAAACCCTCGCTTGAGCGAAAAGTATGATCGATTATTATCCAATTATAGTCGATCACTTTGACATATATGACTTTAGATAGCGGTTATTTGACCAACCGCTATCTAAACTACTACATTAGAAAGCGGTTAAAGCCTAACCGCTATCTAATATATATTTTTAAAAGCGGTTGTTATCAAGCGCTATCTAAGGTGACTCAAGCGAAAAACACATCGCTTGAGCGAGGATTTCTTCGATTTCATACAGGGAGTCTGGGCAATTTCTTCCGAAACATTCATCTATTCCTGATAAGGAAAGGGATACTCAAAGGAAAAGAATGGATGAAAGATCCCATTTTATCAACCGTAATTGCATTGATGATTTTGATGAATGTGAGTTTGTAATCAAGAGCTACAGAATGTCCACTTCTGGTGCTGAGAGAGAAATAGAATCTTCATTTAATAAGGTGCAGAGTGATGATACGCCATTGCAGCGGCAGCAGCTAAATATGCCAAAACGAGATTGTGGGAAATATCTTAAAGCTAGCTCTAAGATTATGTACAGAAGTAAGGGCGGGCAAGCAGTGCTGAGATGCAGGAAATCAGTTGACTTGATTAATGGGGAAGGAAAGGTAAAGATGGTGAAAATATGGTCAAGAATATGTACTTTTGTCTTTATGAATGAGTTATTCAACATGTTACACTTTATATCTTCTTGGCAGCCTTTACTCGTATAATGCTCACTGTACTACCTCACTCCCAAATACTAACTACGTTTTATCTTTTAATTCTCAATTTTTATTTGTTTTGAAAATGAATTTTAAATTTGGACCATGCGAAATCGTGATGTTGTTCTAGATTTTCAGCATCAATATCAAGCAAAAATGCAAAATTCTTGAGGATATCAGGTCAAGCATGTAAAGCAAATCTGTGTAGTTCCTTGAAATTGAAACATTAATCACATATTGTCTAGTAACATTGTATATGCAGCAGTAATATTGTCTGAAAGTGATACTAACAAAGATCTCATTGATTTGATGTGTCTTAACAGAAAGTTTAGGTAAAACCATTTTACCTTTTCTGCTGCATAAAGTTTCTTCATCATTTTGCAAAATGCCTCAAAAATAGTTTTAAACAAATCAAAAACAAAATCATTTTGACAAAGAACTTTCTTAATAATGTTTTTAACTGATATAGTTTTAAAAGAAACGATTAAAATCACTTAGAATGTTTAAAGAAGTGTTTTTACAGTATTTTAATCGATACAAACTTCTTTTAATCGATTAAAACCCTTTAAAACTCTTTATGACCGATTAGAATTCAAATATGACCGATCGAGTTGGTTATGATCGATCAAATTGAATTATGACCGATCAGACTTATTTCAATCGATTAAAACGAATTTCAATCGATTAAAATGACTTGAAAATTTTTGTACAGAGTTTCAATCGATTAAAACCTATTTCAATCAATTAAAATAACTTGGAAAATCTTTGTACAGAGTTTCAATCAATTAAAACGCGTTTCAACCGATTAAAACAACTTAGAAAAATTACATGCAGGTTTTTAATCGATTAAAACTTCTTTGTATCAGCTTAAAATAACTTGAAAAGTTTTATAAGAAAGTTTTAAAGTAAATCAATCGATTAAAACGCGAATCAATCGATTGAATCACTCTCGAGAAAATGTTTGTAAAATGTTTTAACTGATATAAACATGGTTGTATCAACTAAAAACATTCTGTTAAAGAAACAAGAACGCATTAATGGGTTGAAAGGACTTTTAACAGATTATAACGGCTATTTCAACAGATTAAAACAAACTTTCAACAGATTAATTAATGCAGCAGATTTGAAAATTCTCTTTAAAAAGAGTTTTGCTTGAAACTTTTAAACATAGATTGAACATCAGTTTTTACACATCAGATAGCACATATTTATTGATTCGAATATCTCATTCTACTAGATATTATATCTGTCACCAATTTGTATCTATTATTGGTAGACTGCAATTTATTCTTAGATCTCAATGGGCATAGTATGTTGTTTAGCCTTTGATTACCTTTACAGGTAGTCTGGGCAGAGAATTGGACAAGACATTCTCTTTTTCTTCCCAACTTGTCAAGTTTGCATTCTATACTCAATTGTATTAATGCATGGAACTGCTAAATGGTTGTATTATTTTATCACTTTCAAAAGCCTGCATTGGTTTTTATGTAGAAATAATAATGTGTTTTGGACAATAAGAAGCGGAGGAGAGCTCCAGTGGCTTTTTCTCAATCTAATAAAAGTGTCATCAAATTTGACGCCCCAAAATATGAGAGCAACCTCCAAATTAAGAAATGGGTCCAGAGCCTTCAAGATCAAGGGCAGAAAGAAAGCTCGGATATTGAGGAAGGTCAGATTGTAACAGAAAAATGGGAGTCATCCACGGAGGAGGCTTCCGTATCCGGGAGAGATGCTTCGAAGGTCCAACGAGTGGGCGACAGTGTGAAGAAGAGAATGTCACAAAATGAAGGTAGTTCGACCAATGCATTGGTGGATATAACGAGAATCCCCCATTTTTCCAGGTGTCCTCGCTCAAGCGATGTGATTTTCGCTTGAGTCACCTTACATAGCGGTTGACAACAACCGCTTTTAAAAATATATATTAGATAGCGGTTAGGCTTTAACCGCTTTCTAATGTAGTAGTTTAGATAGCGGTTGGCCAAATAACCGCTATCTAAAGTCATATATGTCAAAGTGATCGACTATAATTGGATAATAATCGATCATACTTTTAGCTCAAGCGAGGGTTTCCTCGCTTGAGCGAGAATTTACCCCGGATTACCCCTTTGATACAGATTTCCTCGCTCAAGCGAAGGTTTTCTTCGCTTGAGCGAGAGTTCAGTACGCGAAATAATATTATTTTAATACGTGAACAGTAAACAGTTACGCGAAATAATATTATTTTATTACGTGAACAGTAAACAGTGCTAGTTGTGGAAATAAAGTTGCAGAGGTGCTATTTTGGTAAATATTTTTGAAAACAGTATTATTTATGAAAAAAAGTCAATGATGGGACCAGAATAGATTTTATGTAGAACAAAGTTGAACGATGGGATGGGATATCATTATGAAAGGTGAACATGGATCGAATAAACATGCATTATATAATTAAAATCAATTATTAAAATCAATTTTTAAATTAATTTTTAAACTAATTATATATATATATATGTATATATATATATATGAAAATATAAACCTGATAAAGGAATAAAAATTAAAATTATCTGAACTTAGTGACAACAGTGACACGCAACAAATCCAGAGAAGGTAAGACAGTCCATACCATATTTGATTGTTGAACAAATTATCGGAACTCACTGACAACCAACAAATGACAGCATGCAACAATATGCAACATTGTTAGTTTTGCACAATTTTTCTCAAGAAAAGAGGTGAAAAGGTGATATACAGCAAAAAAAATCAACCTTTAAACACTAAACAACAAAGAACGTAGAGGCAATACACCCGAAGATAACAGTGTTATGGTATGAAGTCAGTTTTAGCCGCACAATATCTGAACAATTTATCTGAAGTCATTGACAATTGTGTTAGGTAAACCTTAAATGCATGTGGTTAAAAGGTAGTGGTTATAGAGGTAGTAGTTGAGAGGTAGTAGTTATATTAAATGTATGTAGTTGAGAGATAGTGGTTGTATTGAATATATGTAATTGAAAGGTAGTACTTGTATTAAATGAATGTAGTTGAGATGCTATATCCAAAGGCCTATAAATTGAACATGTATCACTTATTACAAACACATCAAGTGATAATATACAGAGTGCTTTATTTAGATACTTGTTTGTCAACAAATTGGCATCAGAGCTTGAGAGCCTGAGTGTCTGAGTGCGTTAGAGAGAGTGTTTGAGAGTTTGAGAGTTTGTTTGAGATGACCAACTTAACTAACAGCATGCCCCTGCCAAAGTTATCGAAAGGCGTAAGCTATGATAACTGGATTATGCAAATGAAGACTCTCCTTGGTTCCTAGGAAGTATGAGATGTGGTCGAAAATGGGCACCAAGAATCAGAGAATATTGAAGAGCAGACGATTGCCCAGCTTGCTGCATTGAGAGCAACACGAGTAAAGGACAAAACGGTTTTGTATGTGCTATACCGAGCTGTTGATGAGTCCGGCTTTGAGAAGATAGCAAATGTTAAATCTTCAAAAGAAGCGTGGGATATTCTGGAGAAGTCATATAAAGGGGATAATCGCGTGAAGCAAGTCAGGCTTCAAACTCTTAGAGGCGAGCTTGAAAGCATGAGGATGAAAGAGGTCGAAGGGGTTGCTGAGTACATCTCCCGTGTTGAGACCGTGGTGAATCAACTCGGAAGAAATGGAGAGACGCTGCCCACTTGCCAAGTGGTGGAGAAAATCTTAAGGTCGTTAACTGACGACTTTGAGAATATCGTTTGTGCAATAGAAGAGTCTAAAGACTTGTCGGTGCTCTCGGTGGAAGAGCTTGCCAGGTCGCTTGAAGCGCATGAGCAGCGGAGAAGGAAGAAGAAAGAGGAGTCCCTTGATCAAGCACTCCAAGCAAAGGCAACCTTAAAGGAGAAGAAGGTTCCTTATGCTCAGAACACTCAAGGCCGAGGTGGTAGAGGCAGCGGAGAATATGAAAGAGGCAAGGAGCAAGTCAGTCAACAAAACTGGCGTGGCCGAAGACAAGGTAGAGGTCGTGACGGTAGAGGCCGAGGTGGTCAGTCAAGCAATTCCGGAGTTGAGTGCTTCAAATGTGGGAAGTACGCTCATTTTGCTAAGGACTGCTATTCAGGTATCAAATGTTATAATTGTGGGAAGGTTGTGCATTTCGCAAAGGACTGCTGATCTGAGAGGAAGAAGGAGACAAACCTCCTCTCTGAGGACACTGAGGAAGAAGGAGTATTGATGATGTCAAGAAGTTCGGATGTCGAGCTAAGTCCGAGCTGTTCTGACAACTCGGTTTGGTATCTTGATACAGGAGCAAGTAACCACATGTGCGGGGACGAGAACCTTTTTAAGGAGCTCACTAAAGTTGAGGTCGGACACGTGTCATTTGGAGATGCATCAAAGGTGGCAGTAAAAGGCAGAGGTACAATCTGGTACCTGCAGAAGAATAGCCGAGTTGGAGAAATCAGAGACGTGTACTATGTACCCGATCTCAAAAGCAACATATTGAGTATGGGTCAGCTGATGGAGAAAGGCTACTCGGTTCTGATGAAAGACTGAGTACTATACCTGAAGGACAAGTTGGATCATTTGATTGCCCGAGTAGAAATGAAGAACAGAATGTACAAGTTGGACTTGAAGATAGTCCAAGAGAGGTGTTTGAAACTTGACGTGAAGGATGAAACAATGATGTGGCACTTTCGATTTGGCCACTTGCATTTTGGCGGACTGACCGAGTTGGTAAAGAAAGAGATGGTGTGAGGACTCCCGTCTATGAAATTTGAAAAGAAATTTTGTGAAGAGTGTGTGCTCGGGAAGCATCCGAGGACCTCATTTCTGAGGACAGCCGAGTACCGTGCAAAGGAACAACTCGGATTGATTCACACAGATCTTTGTGGACCGATTACCCCTGAGTCCTTCAGTGGGAAAAGGTATTTCATTTCTTTTATAGATGATTTTTCAAGAAAAACCTGGGTATATTTTTTGAAGGAGAAATCCGAGGTGTTTGAGGTGTTCAAGAGATTTAAAGCAATGGTTGAGAAAGAGACTGACATGCCTATCAAATCTGTTAGGTCTGATCGAGGAGGTGAGTTCATTTCATCCGAACTCATGAAGTATTGCGAGGAACAAGGGATAAGGAGATTTCTGACAGCACCATACTCACCCCAACAAAACGGAGTTGCGGAGAGGAAGAATCAAACCATTCTTGACATGGTTCGAACAATGTTGAGAAGCAAAAACATGCCAAAGGAGTTCTGGGCAGAAACAGTGCAATGTGCCATCTATGTGCAAAATAGATGTCCACATGCTAAGCTGAACGAGAAGACACCGTAAGAAGTCTGGAGTGGAAGAAAACCGAGTGTGTCTCACCTTAAAGTGTTCGGTAGCATAGCTTATGGTCATGTTCCAGCTCAACAGAGGACCAAGCTCGAAGATAGAAGCAAAAAGTATGTGTTTATTGGATATGATGAAAAAACCAAGGCGTACAGGTTGTTTAACCCAATAACTAAGAAGGTCATCATGAGCCGAGATGTTCAAATTGATGAAGAAAGCGAGTGGAGTTGGAACAACTCGGAGAAGGAGTCCATAGGAAGTAGAAGCTCGGAAGTTGATACACCACATACTGTGAGAGATCACGAGACTTTTGATAAAGAAGATAAACCTCTACAGCCCAGAGCGCGAAGTTTACAAGATATATACAACTCCACTGACGAAGTGCATGTTGTATGTCTCTTGGTAGATTCAGAAGACTTAAGTTTTGAAGAGGCCGCGCAGGAGAAAAGGTGGAGAAAGGCAATGGACGAGAAGATCGGGGCAATAGAACGCAACAACACATGGGAGCTGACTGATTTGCCCAAAGGAATGCGGCCTATCGGCGTAAAGTGGGTGTACAAGAAGAAGACAAATGCTGAAGGAGAAGTTGAGCGATATAAAGCTCGACTCGTAGTGAAGGGGTATAAGCAAAAAGAAGGAATAGACTATGACGAAGTATTCGCCCCAGTGACGAGAATGGAAACAATTAGGCTGTTGATTTCCTTAGCAGCTCAACACAGATGGAAAATCTTGCAGATGGACGTGAAGTCGGCATTTCTGAATGGAATCTTGGAGGAGGAAGTATATGTTGAACAGCCACTCGGATACATGCGAAGAGGAGAAGAGAAGAAAGTGTTGAGATTGAAGAAGGCACTTTATGGCTTGAAACAAGCTCCACGAGCATGAAATGAAAGAATTGACACTTACTTCAAAAGGAATGGATATGAGCAGTGTCCTTATGAACATGCTCTATACATAAAGAAGAAAGGAGAAGATGTGATGTTTGTTGCCCTATATGTTGATGACCTTATCTTCATGGGGAATAATGCCGAGCTAATTGAATAATTTAAAGAAGTGATGAAGAAGGAGTTTGAGATGACTGACTTGGGTCTTATGAAGTATTTTCTTGGCTTAGAAGTTGTTCAGGGAAAGGATGACATCTTTGTGTCACAGGAAAGGTATGCTGAGGAGGTCTTGAAGAAGTTTAAGATGACAAGCTGCAACCCGGTTTCCACCCCTATGGAACCTGGTACAAAACTTTCTAAGTATGTAGATGGAGACCGAGTTGATGCAAGCAAATACTGAAGTCTGATTGGAAGTCTTAGGTATCTTACAAATACCAGACCAGATTTAATGTTAAGTGTTGGAATAGCAAGTCAATATATGGAGGAGCCAAGGTATACGCATTGGAAGGCACTAAAGAGAATTCTAAGGTATGTGAGAGGAACAGTGTCACTTGGCCTAATGTATACTAGGACGGATGATTATCGACTAGTAGGCTACTCAGATAGTGACTGGTGTGGAGATGTTGATGACCGGAAAAACACGTCTGGATATGTATTCTTCATGGGAAACACAACATTCACCTGGCTTTCAAAAAAGTAACCCATTGTAACGTTGTCAACTTGTGAAGCCGAGTACGTTGCAGCATCCTGGAGTGTCTGTCATGCAGTTTGTCTTAGAAACCTTCTAAGCAAGCTGGAGTTGAAGCAAGAAAAAGGGACTGTGATTCGAGTTGATAACAAGTCGGCCATTGAATTGGCAAAGAACTCGGTCAATCATGAGAGAAGCAAGCATATTGATGTTCGGTTTCACTTCATCCGAGAACAAGTGAAAGAAGGAAATGTGGAGTTAGAGCACGTCGGAACTCGAGCACAAGCTGCAGATATGTTCACGAAGTCACTGCCAACCACTCTGTTCGAGAACAACAAGAAGATACTTGGAATGAAGGACAAGAAAAACATTTAAGTTTATGGGGGGATTTTGTTAGGCAAACCTTAAATGCATGTGGTTGAAAGGTAGTAGTTATAGAGGTAGTAGTTGAGAGGTAGTAGTTATATTGAATGTATGTAGTTGAGAGATAGTAGTTGTATTGAATATATGTAGTTGAAAGGTAGTAGTTGTATTAAATGCATGTAGTTGAGAGGCCATATCCAAAGGCCTATAAATTGAACATGTATCACTCATTGCAAACACATCAAGTGATAATATACAGAGTGCTTTATTTATATACTTGTTTGTCAACAAGTTGCACAAATGAAACCAAACAAAAGACTTTGGTGTAGCAATGAACAATTAGGTTGAAGTGATATCCAACAAAAAAAAAAAAATCAACCCTAAAACTAAACAACAAAGAAGATAGAAGGTAAACACTCAAACCTATTTTGTTCTTCTACACTGCAATAAATCGTTGAAAAATCAGGGTTTTGAAATATATGGAAGGTGGTCACATGGAAATACGTATTCTAGATCAATGAATATATACTTCTCCAATTAATTTGAAATTTGAAACTGACATTTTTCTGTAAAATACCAACATGTACCTTATTTAGGTTATGTCTTGCAGGCTTTCCTTTGTCATGCATGCAGTAATAGCCCTAGAACATACTACAATAAAAAAATAAATTTAATTTAAACTTTATTTTTTATTACAATACCAAAGATAAACACACACAAAAATTCGAAATGGGTAATCTTTGAAGAAAAAAAAAACGTTAAATTAAAACAAATCAATAAGAAAGAAAATATAATACTACACTTAAATATGTATAAATATGCGAAAGAAGCTAATTTTTTTTTGGGAAAAATATTTTAAACTTTTCTTTGAATGAAAAAAAAAATTTGAAATGAAAAAATCAATAAAAAAGATTGAATAATCTATCTTAATTACTACAAATGTAAGTATCCACCGTTTCCAACCGATAAAAAATACTACTTGAGAGAGAAGACGCGAACATTTGATATTTTTTTAGACACTGATTTTACGTAAAAGAAGAAATAATGAGTTTAATCGTTTGGATGAGCAGGCAGTGTGCATGAGAGTGTTGGAACGTGTGGGAGAATATTGGATTAACTGTTTATGTGACCCATGAATAGGTGAAGAACAAAATGGACTAAGAAACATTTTCTGTGACCATTATTATTTGTCTTTTTATAAAAATGGTTATATTTTAAAAAAATCATTTATATTTATTTTAATAAATTTGTGATGTTAGCACGTGAAAAAAGTTATATATAGTATAGATTAAAGAAGGATATTTTAATTTTTTTTATATAAGTTATGAGGGTGAAAAAAAAAATATTGAGATAGATGATACACGAAGAAAGTAATTAAAAAAGAAAAAAAAAGCACCCTTTTTTTATATAAGTTATCAGGGTGAAAAAAAAAATTGACATAGACGATAAATGAGAAAAGTAATAAAAAAAACAAAAAGAATTTACCCTCTTCTTTTGTCACTTAAGAATCGGGTGAAAAAAATTTCTTACACAATTTTAAGTGAAAAAAAAGTGAAAAATCTTCTTTTTCAACTCAATGTCCCATTCAAAATTATATATATATATATATATATATATATATATATATATATATATATATATATATATATATATTTAAATATTTCTCAAAAGTAGCTATTTCAGCTTTCACTCAAATTTTCGATATCCTTTTTATTTCTCATTAAACATTTATCTATCATAATTGGATTCGAACGGCTCTGTCAATTTTTTTTCATCTTGCTCGGGATTCTTACTCCGCAACTCAAGGGTACATTTCATCAAACTATGTAATGCTAAATCACCACCTACGTTGTCCATCTGTAGTTGAGCTCAAGACATGATTGAAAACTTTGATGCTAATAATTTTTTTTTCTCTGATAAATATTTTATTTTATCTAAAAAATAATGAAAAAATGTCATTTAAATAGCTCTAAGAAAAAATATTTAAAAAATTTATTAATGAAAAGTTGAAAATTATTTATGAAGAACAGAAAACAAAATCCAGTAATTTACAACTTACAAGGGACTAAAGATATGTTTCGACCAAATAATAACACAATAAAAATAAAAAATACAAAACCATAGGATAAGCTACAAATAATAGCGTAATAAACTAAACCACATAAGCATTCCCTGTGTAGTATGTTCCCTACTCTTGTGTAAATCCTCCAAGCCTTGTGCGTGCTATTTTACTGAAGTACGAGTAGGGGTTCTCTTGAGATACTGACCAGTCAGTCAATCCTATGCAGTTAGAGATGGCACTCTTCGGGTACATAAGCCCTTTTCAGTATTATTGGTCTCTTATCCTAATATTATTTTCCAAATTCGAATCATAAACAAAGCACTTAATGAATTCCTTTTATTCAAGAAAAGTATTTACATTCAACTAGATGTAACTGAATGACAGCTATCGTTGTACAATAAACAACTGGAAAATTTCCACTGATATTATACCATATTTCTGTATGCACTTCAAATGTAGTTCTTCTTCCTTCTCCCTATGTTTCCATGTGTTCAGTTTTATCTATTAGACAGTGACTAAAAATACAAAATCTGACAAACTTTACTAACTCAAATAACGTACAAAGGACATCTTGTTAAGAGCAAACTTCGACGTACAAATTTGCTTTGCCTTTCAGAACCGTTTTCTGAGCTAGCAAGTTAAGCTTGTACTTGATTCAAGGGTTGACTTAGCTAGCCACAATAAGCCAGGATCATTCCGCTTCAACACCAAGTAAGCATCTTCCTTCCCAATATTGTCAAACATAACATCTTCCCTGAAGCCGACTAAAAATAGAATTTCCAAGGCAGCTGTAGCAGTAAAAATGAAAAAGATAATAGCCCAAATTTGAGCATATACAATATTAGCATAAACTTCTGGAAAATCTGCTTTAAGAAATTGTAATAATTGCTTATACATTTCTATCTACAGAATTATATTGCTTGATCAGGTGGTTACTATTTAGATTTTACCATAATCACATGCCTATTATCTAGGATCTTCATTGAACAAAAGAAAATCACTCACAACAAGCACTACTAAGTTACAACCCAATGGTCAGAAAGTGCAAACCTTTATAATTTACAATGTTCCTCTCAATGACTGGATTAGCCTGTAATCACAATGTTCGTTATATAAAATCGGAAACTTTTTAGGCGAATCTTAGGATAAAGCGTTGTTTCAGGCAGCATGGCAATAGGTAACATAGGTTACATACCTTTCGTAATCTCTTGTATTTTTCCACCTCAGGGTGTTCAATCACATTCCTGCAATCAGATAGAATAGAAGCAATGATATGCGCAAAAGGAAAAGCTTAAAGCATAATTACACAGAGAACTACTGGAAGTACTTTCTGAAACTTCTCAAATCTAAATCCCTGATGCAAGAGGATGTTCATCAAGGGTACCCATGATCGCTCAATCAATGTTTCCACAAGCATACCTAATTATTTTCAGAAGTGTTTGAAGGATCGAAGTGGCTTGCATTGCACTAACTTCACTTCTTAGCATTTCCATAGCCTTCAACAAACGGTTACAAACTGCAGTTGAGGTATCATTTATTCTCAGAAATTCTTGATCATCAGGATCAGGCTCGTTAGTTTGCAGTGCAGATAATTCTGGTGTGGGAACCACATCATTGGGAACAGGTTCTGCCATCACATTTATTTCTACATTAGATTCAGCATGAGCAGGTTCGTTATATACATTTCTTTCATTAACATAATATCCAATATTTATATTTAACAAGAACATGGAACCAATTGAATGAAGCAACAGTTGGGACAGAAGGGTAGTAGCTTGAAAACAAAAGGAAAGGTAGCATGGTTCAATCTATGATACCTTACAGAAATTGATTTCAGTTACTAAAAGATCCTTGTTAAATCCAAGTAGCTACAGAAATAGAGAAAATGTGTGTTATGAGCACACACACAATTCCCTATTTACTAGGAATAGTAATCATACAAAAAAAGGAATCAGGAAATATAAAACATACTCCGTAAAATTAAGGCTATATAACGTTTTCCTATTTACATATTCAAATCTTCAACAGTCCCCCCAGTTGGAGTGTATATACCATATACACCGAGCTTGTTACAAACACAAGTACAACTAGCTCATTATATTCTGAATATCTTAACTAACTTTTCCTCCTTCTTATAGCCTGATAGAGTATAAGATGATGGAGAATTTAGTAAGATAGTTAACATATTAATGAGTTAGTTAGTTGCTTGAGGTGTCATTTAGATATAAGTAGGGTAAGAAGGATGCGAGAAGGGAGGTTATTTTTGTAAATTGAACATTAGTTATTTGTCAAAGGAGAAATCCTTTGTGAAGGGGAAACCGTTAGAGGAGAGTGCTCTCCTATTGTGTTTTTTTCATTCTTTTCAATAAAAATCTTTCTTTTCTTTTTCCTTTCAAATCTTTGAGGGAGAGTCAATGTTAGAGATGGAGGAAGCACAAATTTGGACCATGGGGAAGTTGGGGGCGTTTGTGGGGGCAGAGATCCAAATAGTTGGTATTAAATATTGTTTGATATTGTGATAACAATATCTTCTATTTACTCTAATTATTTTTTTTTGTACCTCTCTTTACTATAAATAAATTACCCTAGGTGTGGTTTATGCACAAAGGAGATTAATCTTAAACCCTATTTTCTCTATATTCAACATGGTATCTAGAGTTTAAGGTTATTTTGAAATTTTTTTTTTCGCCTTTGTCCATTGCCACCACTGCCACAGTTGCCATTGCCAGAGTCGTTGCCGCTGTTAGAGCCGTCGCCGAAGCCTTCGTTAGAGCCATTGTCGGAGTTTCATTTTTGACCAGCGACATACAGTTTTGCTCGTCTCGGTCAGGCGACCACCATACAGTTGAGATCAACACTATCGGAGTTGGTCGTCTATTGTCTCCAGCGCCATTTAGTCTCGACAGACGTGTTTTGGTCTTCTCGTTTTGGATTTGTGCTTCGTGGGTTGATTGGACTACTTTGGATTTTTTTAGTGTTTGTTCTACCTCCCTTCATGACTTCTTCCACTCCTACTACTTTCAATTTTGTCAGTACTGCGTCTTATCCTTCCGTCTATACTATGTTAGTGTGCACTTATCCATTGACAAGTTAACTGACCCTAATTATGCCACATGGTCATCAGACGTCAGATTATGACTTAAGAGTCAGAGGTATCTTGATCATCTTGCACCGAAAGCACCTACTCTCACTCCTGTTGAGGAAGACCATTGGGACACCATTGATGCTCAATTATGTGTGGTTCTCAAGAGTATTCTAGATCCTTCATTAAAGCAGAATTTTCCGTTCCTACGAAACGTGTGCTAAAACCTGCGAACATGCCAAGTTATTATACACCAATGATACCCAACGTCTTTATGGTGTCTGTTCTAAATTTGCAGATCTTACTCTATGACTGATTATATGGGCAAAATTCATGCTTTATTTCATGAATTCAATGAGTTATTGCCTCCTTCCCCCAACCCTACCACCGAGATAGCACAACGATCAAAGTTCTTCATGCTAGGGGCATTACACGGACTTGTTGATTAATATTCACATATCCGTGATCAGATTTTGGGTTCCTCAATTGTCCCCACCTTGACTTCGACTTGCTCTACTCTTTTGCATGTACCAACAAAACCCAACCCTGATACACTTGCTTTTGTTAATCATGCTTCTGCGTTGGCATCTCACCGTGATGACCAGACTCGCCCTCGCAAACAGGAAAATGGGTATTGTAAGTGTGAACATTGTGGCAAGCTAGGTCACAAGATTGCCCAATGTTATGCATTATATGAGTGTGAACATTGTGACAAGCTAGGTCACAAGATTGACAAGTGTTATGCATTACATGGTCATTCCCTCAATCTGCTACAGTTGTTCAGATCGATCTTTTCCCACCTTTGTTTACTGGGGATTCTCCTTCTTCTGTTTCATCCGACACACCTGCTATGTTCAACAAATTTCTCAATGGTATAAAGATCAACAGTCTTCTAGTTCCACTGCGTCTGTATACAGGTACATCTTTTGCTGGTCTGACCCAATCTTCTTCTCCTGGTCCTTGGATTTTTTATTCAGGAGCCACTGATCATATTACTGGTAACAAATCTTTGTTCTCCTCTTTATCCTCTCCTACTCCTTTACCTTCTATTACACTAGCTAATGGCTCTAGAGTATCATCTTATGGTGTTAGAACTGTTAAACTTTTTCTTTCTTTAATCATTGATAATGTTTTTTATGTTCCTGGGTCTCCTTTTAACCTGTTGTCCATCAGTCGTCTAACTCGTTCTTTTGATTGTGTTGTTTCTTTTACCAACAATTTTGTTTGTTTACAGGACCAGAGATCGAAACACGTGATTGACACAGGATGTGAGTCTCATGATCTTTATCATCTTCGTCCCTCTACACATGTTGGTGCAGTTATGGAATCTCCCTCTCTTCTTCATGCTCAGTTAGGTCATTCAAGCCTTGCCAAGTTACAACATCTTGTCCCTGTCTTGTCCAAGGTGTCTAGTTTGGTGTGTGAGTCGTGTCAATTAGGTAAGCATAGTTGTACTTCCTTTACTCGTAGTATCACACGTGGTGCTTCGTCCCCTTTTGCCATGGTTCATTCTGACATTTGGGGACCTAGCTGCGTTAAGTCTACTTTAGGTTTTCAATACTTTATTACTTTCATTGATGATTATTCCAGATGTATTTGGTTATTTTTTATGAAAAATCATTCTTAATTATTTCATATCTTTCAATCTTTTTTTAATGAAATTCAAACTCAGTTTAGTGTTTCTATAAGAGTTTTGCACAGTGATAATGATCATGAATATCTTTCTCATTTTTTTAAACAATTCATGGTTTTTTACGGTATTCTGCATCAAACTTCTTGTGCTTATACACCTTAACAAATTGGTGTAGTTGAACGTAAAAATAGACATTTTCTTGAAACAACTCGCACTCTTTTAATTCATGAAGAGGTTCCTCAAAATTTTTTGGGGTGATGCCCTTCTTACTACATGTTATCTCGTTAATCACACGCCTTCTTTGATTTTAGATAATAAAATACCTCATTCCATTTTATTTCCTCATGAACCTCTTCATCCCTTACCTCTAAGAGTTTTCGGATCTATATGTTTTGCTCATAATTTCAGTCCTGGTCTTGACAAGCTTTCTCCTAGATCACATAAGTATGTTTTCTTAGGGTTTACAAGATCACAAAAAGGATACAAATATTTTTTTTTTCTTCTTTTAACCGTTATTTTGTGTCTGCAAATGTCACATTTGATAAGTTCTCCCTTTATTTTAAAAATTAATCTTCACCTCTGTCTCCATCCAATCCTGTCAACACTCCTAGTACATTTAATGTTTATGTTATTTGTGACCCTCTAACTATGTTTTCTTCACTATTAGTTCCTGCTCCGCAGTCAGCTTTTTCTCCACCGTCCCTTTAGTTTTATAGTCGCCAAAACCAATTACAACCACCACCATGTGACTCCACTCAAGTGCCAACTACTATGTCTCATTTGGCTCTGACACTTGAGTCTGACCTTCCCATTGCCCTCTGAAAAGATATTTGTTCTACACATAATCCCTCTCTCCATTATATTACTTTGAGTTATCATCGACTGTAATTACGTTTTTATACATGTCTTTCCTCTATTTCTTCTGTAACCATTCCAAAAACTGTCCATGAAGTTTTAGCCCATCCTGGTTGACATCAGGCCATGACAAATGAACTAAGTGTTTTTCATAATAGTGAAACTTGGGAATTGGTCCCGTTACCGTCTAGGAAATCTGTTGTTGGTTGCAGGTGGGTGTTTGCTATCAAAGTTGGACCTTATTGCCTCAAAACTCTTCTTGTAACTAAAGGTTATACTCAAATTTTTGGGTTGAATTATGGAGATACGTTTTCCCTATGACAAAGATGACTTCTGTTCGTTTATTTATCGTCATGGCTGCTCTTCAACAATGACATCTTTATCAATTAAATGTTAAAAATGCTTTCCTCAATGGTGATTTGCAGGAAGAAATCTATATGGAACAACCTCCTGAGTTTGTTGCTCAGGGGAAGTCTTCTGGGATGGTATGTCGTCTTCGCAAATGCCTATATGGCCTAAAACAATCTCCTAGGGCCTAGTTTGGAAAGTTTAGCAATATTGTTCAACAATTTGGTATGACTCGGTGTGAAGCAGATTATTCTGTATTTTATCAACACTCGAGTGTTGGATGTGTTTACTTGATAATATATGATGATGACATCGTTCTTACAGATAGTGACAACCATGACATCTCTCCGTTGAAACAACATCTCTGTTACCATTTTCAAACAAAAAATCTTGGCAAACTCAAATATTTCTTGGGTATTGAGGTGGCACACTAATGATGGTATTATTATATCTCAGAGGAAGTATGTCATGGATATTTTGGAGGAAACTGGGTTGATGAGTTCAAAGTCAGTTGATGCACCCATGGATCTCAATACTAAACTTCTACCAAATCAGAGGAGCATATATCTAATCCTGAACAATATAGAAGATTGGTTGGGAAATTAAATTATCTTACAATTACCCGTCCAAACATTTCCTTTGCAGTTAGTGTTGTAAGCCAATTTTTTAATTCCCCATGTGAAGATCATTAGAATGCAGTCATTCGTATCTTGAAATATATTAAAGGATCTCCTGGAAAAGGATTGTTATATGATTCTAATAACCATACAATAGTTGTTTGCTACTCAGATGCAGATTGAGCAGGATCTCCT